CCAAAACCCCAAAACCCCAAAACCCCAAAACCCCAAAACCCCAAAACCCCATGTGCATAAATCATTCTCAAAATAGAACAAATGAAATAAAAAATTTGATGAAAGTTTATAATAGTAATTCTAATAAGTAATGCACTTTTTACTTTTATATAAGATTATTAATTAAAGTTAGGCGATTGATTAATAAAAATAGAGATGAAGATTTAATTTTTTAGTTTTCAATGATAGAAACAGACAATCATTCTTTTCTGAACTTTGAAAACTTTAATGATGGAAGAGATACTACGGTATTTAAGATTTTACTCTGTGATCTTAGAAGTTTGTTCTTATCAATATTCTCCTAGTATAAAACAGATCTTTTCTTTTCATCATCTTTGAGAAAATCCTTAAATCTCTTTCCTCCTAATAAAGCAGATCTTGCTCGATCAACATCAAGTATTTATTTTGTGATTTTAATGTTTAGTGGTGTCAAAATATTAGATCTCTTTATTTTGCATGTCTATTTCATGTGATCAGTCTCTTTTAACTAACTTTTACTTTCATCGCATTCCGAATCTGATTCAACTAGGTCATTCAATAACTCTGATTCATTTTTTTATTAATCTAAGTTTAAATTTTACCATGCTTTTTCTAATTCAATCTTTCTTTGAGCTGCTTTAAATCTGAGCTATTTGATAATATTTAATGGCTTAGATTAACTGGATACTGGGCTAAATGGAGCATTCATATATTCTTCAAAGTTGTTGTCATGACAAATTTCATATTTTTACTATTTGATATTAATTTTTTCATCAAATAATTAATAGGGAGGAGTATGCTTTAAGTTACTATAGTTTTATTGTTTAAAATATTGAAAGTCGTGACTTAATTCTGAGCTAGAAGAATCACTTGTAATGCAAATTGAATCTGATTTTATTTGCTCAAGATTCCAAACTTAGGGATTGCTATTTTACTCTTTAGCTAGTAATTTTCTATTTGTGAGATTGCTATTTACATCATTGCAAAATGAATCTTCTCTAATACTTTTATTAATTTACGATTAAATTATTATTTTGTTTTTATTTGAGAAATCAGCTAGATCCAACTCAAAAGATTCTATTCTTTCTTAACTAGAATTATAATCTGAGATTTATTCATTTTTATTTCTTTTGTTGACACCTTGATTCTTAAAAAAGGTACTCTTACTCTGTGATTATTATTTTATTTACGGGACTTCATTAAAAGGACTTGGTAGACTCTTATTTTAATCGTTATCCATGTTTGCACTCAATTTGTTGTTTTTTAGATTTTAGAACATTACAAATTCATCTTAAAATATGAATCTTGCATCTTAATGATATAGTTATTCAGGTATTGGCTAACATAAAACATCATTAATGCATTTAAAATTTTTAGCTTTGTGCATATACTTTTAGAAAGAATTGTAATCTCTATCATCACATTCATTTTTATTAGTGATATCTAATCTATGCTACCTCTTTAGGTGTTTCATGTTGAATAACTATCCTTATCTATTTAAATAAGGTTTATTTTTTGAGTTATCAATTAATTGCTGGATTTTTATTCTTTCATTGCTAATGCTTTAATTGTGATTGCGCTTGATATTTTCAAGTAAAATGTTTCTTTTTTGAGTTTGATCTGGGGTCAAGGAGTTATGGACAAATATCATATATGTATTACTTAAGTTAATAGATTAATATTTATTTATGATAATTCCCTATTTACCAATGAATAAAAACCTTTTACGGGGTTTTGGGGTTTTGGGGTTTTGGGGTTTTGGGG